TCTGAGCTGGACGTTTATCTGCTGATCGTGATATGATAAAATATGTTCCCAAAATCTCAAACGACTGTCATATCTCAGTCAATAGATTGACGACTACCTCATACTATTATCAATTTTTTAATGCAAAAGGATATGTTTGGAACATATAAATAGTCTAATAATCAAGGGACTCAACAAAGTAACATCTTAATGTCGGAGGATCATTTTGTAACTTTTAATAATCGAAGGAGTGAACAAAATAATACCATATAGTTGGGACCATTTGTGTACTTTACCCAATAAAATTTATAAAAAAAAATTACATTGTTTAGTGTTAATTTATTACATTTTCCAGATTAAATGGTTTCTTGATTTTTGAAATCATACTTTGTCATTATTTTGACACTAATTTTTTAATTTATTTCTTATTTATAAAATATTTATGATATTTTAAAATTTGTCACATAATATATTTACTAATAAACAGTTAGTCTAATAAAATAAGATATTAGATTTTTTAAGTAAGTAAGGGTTCAATACTAGTATTGCAAATGAGCAAATTAAGTTAGAAGGGTTTCTCTCACTTCTGCAGTATTAAATCCAGATTAATTGATTGAAACAGGTAATTATAAAAAAAATCACATGATATTTTGAAATTTAAAAATAATATTTTTTTTATTAATTTGAGGGTACTCCCCTATACGATATGCCCTTAACTATCGTTTAATAACTGAAGTAGTTTGTTTTGTGTAATTTAAAAGAATCATACAAATCTTTAAAATAAATTGTAAAAATATTTGGAAAAAATATATTCATTAGTGAAAGATTTTTAGATTTCCAGAATAATGAATTTTTTTAAAGTATTTTACTAAGTATTACGTGACATTTTCTTAATTGTTACAAAAGTTTCTTATAATAAAAAATAAATTAAACGATTAAGTAATTTAAATTTTTTATTAAATTGAGATAATTATAAAGTAAATATTTGAAGATTTTCAATTATTTATTAAATAATGCAAACAATTATTACAAACTTTGTATTCAAAACCCAAAATTTTTAAAAATAATAATAATCTTTTCCACTATTAAACTGTTATAAAATATTTCTTCAAATATTTAGATGTAATGCATGATTAACATTTTTGCATATGAATATTGGGTTTAAATATGTGAGGCGGCAGAGTGCACCAAATTTAAGGTTTAAGCAGCTGTTGTTTGCGTCTAGGGTTTAGCCTGTTTCTGTTCCTCGCATTTCGACGATGTCCCTCTTCCGCCGTCTCCTCCTCCTCCGCTCCCTCAGCCACCACCCTCCGAAACCCACTGCCCTTACTCCCCTCTCCCACTTCATCCACAATGTAGCGCATAACCCTTCCTATGAAAACCCAATCCAGAATCCTCCCACGCCTCCTCCCCCTCCTCAAAGATCCTACGCCTTCACATCAGCTGAAGAAGCTGCTGCGGAGCGTCGCCGCCGCAAGCGCCGTTTGCGGATTGAGCCCCCAATACATGCCCTCCGTGCCTATGCCCCCTCTTCCCCTCCAACTCGTGACCCTAATGCCCCAAGACTTCCAGACAGCACCTCTGCCCTCGTTGGCCATCGCCTTAATCTTCACAACCGTGTTCAGTCCCTTATCCGCGCCTCCGACCTAGACGCAGCCTCTCTCCTTGCTCGTTCCTCCGTTTTCTCCTCTACTCGTCCAACCGTTTTCACTTGTAACGCTATCATCGCCGCCATGTCCGCAACAAACGCTTCAACGAGGCAATCGCTCTTTTCATTTCTTCTTCAAGCAATCTGATATTGTTCCAAATGTTGTTTCTTACAACAATTTGATTAATACCCATTGCGATAGGGGTGAAGTTGATACTGCTCTCCAAGTTTACCACGAGATTTTGGAGAGGGCACCCTTTAGCCCCTCTCCTGTGACGTATAGGCACCTGACCAAGGGCTTGATCGATGCTGGGAGGATTGGGGAAGCTGTGGATCTGTTAAGGGAGATGTTGAATAAAGGGCACGGTGCCGACTCTTTGGTTTTCAACAACCTCATATCCGGGTTTCTTAATTTGGGAAATTTGGACAAGGCCAATGAGTTGTTTGATGAACTTAAAGAACGTTGCTTGGTTTATGATGGAGTCGTCAATGCTACGTTTATGGAGTGGTGGTTTAAACAGGGGAAGGATAAGGAGGCCATGGAGTCGTATAAGTCGTTGTTGGATAGGAAATTTAAGATGCCTCCTCCCACTTGTAATACCCTTTTGGAGGTTTTACTCAAACATGGGAAGAACAAAGAAGCTTGGGCCTTGTTTGAAAATATGTTGGATAATCATACCCCTCCTAACACGCAGGCGGTGAATTCAGATACTTTTAATATCATGGTGAACGAGTGTTTTAAGTTGGGGAACTTTGAGGAGGCCATTAAAACTTTTAAGAAGGTAGGAACGAAGCCGGGATCCAAGCCTTTTGCTATGGACACTGCTGGTTATAATAATATCATCGCCAGGTTTTGTGAGCATGGGATGCTATCCGAGGCGGACAGGTTTTTTCAAGAACTTTGTGGGAAGTCTTTGACACCGGATGTTCCAATGTATAGAAGCATGATTGATGCATACTTGAAAGCAGAGCGGGTTGATGATGCTCTAAGGTCTTTTACCAAGATGGTCGAGACTGGTTTGAGGGTGGTTGCCAGTTTTGGAACCAGGGTTTTCAGTGAATTTCTAAAGAATGGTAAGAACATGGAAGCTGCTGCACTTCTGATGAAAATGGGAGAGAAAGATCCTAAACCGGATGCCTCTATTTATGATGTTGTAGTCAGAGGGCTTTGCAATGCTGATCAGCTAGACAAAAGCCTAGATATACTGGACCAGATGATGAAGTATTCCATTGGTGTTACCCCTGCATTGCAGGAGTTTTTGCGTGTAGCTTTTGGGAAAGTTGGGAGGAATGAAGATGTTGATAGAGTTTTAAATGAAAATAGGTGGAGATTCCCTGGGCGTCAACCTCGATCTTTTGGACAGTCGCCACAGTCACCCTCTGGACCTGCTCAGATGGGTGGATGGCAGTCATCAGGTTCTCCACAGATGGGAGGAGGACAACAATATTCAGGACCTTCTCAAATACCAAGACAACATTCATGGTGATGGGATCAACTTATATATTGATGCAGGGCCGAATACAAGGTTTCATTCAGTTTCACTCTGAAACTCATCACTCATCTCATTCTTGCATCTATTTTTATTATGGTTTAGCTATTCTTGTACTTGAGGATATCTCATACATATATTTGAAAGTTTGATACATGACTTTATGTCATGTTCGACTTTATTGAGGACTCTATGCCAAAAATTGTATTAGAACTGCACTTCTCTCATTGAGTAATAATTGTAATTCTGGCGAAACTAATCATGGGTTGATTTGACTGAAACTGCATCTTTGATATTAATGTGTATTGAATTGAACATGTGTGAATATTTCCATATCTTTGGCTACAAATACTAGCTCACTTGATATCTGAGGGAGAGCATATTTCAGGCTTGTTTGTGATTACATTAATTCACGTTTTCACAATAGAGACAAAGTGAGAGCTGCTAGGTGAGAAGGTAAAGGTGGTTTCGTTACGGAGGCAATTTTTGTTGTTGGTCATAGTTCTTTACTTGAGGGCAACCTCTTGCAGTAGGTTGTCAGCATTTCTCTTTTTAGTAACTTTAGATTATCCTGTTCCATCCTCTCCCTCAGAAAAGACTGATGCACTAGATCAACCAGTTATATTTGCATCCCCCTTTCTTTACATCATTGCAGGAAGGCTTTCAGCATTTCATTATCCAGTAGTTTGGGCTTCACTACTTTCTTCTTGCAGCATCTGTGACAGAGTGTGACATTCACGTGAACTAGCCGATTCAACAAGTGCAAAACTGGCTATAGATATAACTAATTTAATTCATTCATTCATTATATGAATGAAAATAAACATTTTTAAGTTAAATTTAATTTCATTATAGGATTGGATTTAATATATAAAACTGTAGCCTAAATTAATATTATAAAATAATAATGATTCTATAATTTATAAAATTATTGCAATTTTAGTTATTTTATGAAAACAACATGTGATTTTTTTTTGAAATTTTTTAATAATAAATTACGGATGATGGATATAACTTTTGAAGATGATAGATGAATATGGAACTTTGATAATGTACCATGGATGATGTATGAATCTCATTTAATATACAATTATCAAAATCTTATTCGGTTTACTTATATTTATATATTTAAATTAACTATTGATATTTTATTGATTGATTGATTAATTCAGATCGATTTTTATTGAGATTTATTATGAAGATAATCATTCTAATTCAGTTTGTGTCATTCATAATCATCATGATTCGAAGCTCTAACCTTAAAAAGTCTAATATTTTATTTTACTACACTAATTGATTGTGATTGTAAGATAATAATTGTTTATAAATTGTTTTTGCTATTAACAATACGCGATTACTCAAATTTATAAGAGTAAAGGAGAACATCATTTCCTTTAATATTATTTTTACATTTTAACATTATGTATAAATTTTATGTTGATAATAATATAAAAAAATTAAATTAATAAATTATATTTTTTCTACAATATTTTGTAGAATTGTGCAGAAACACATCAAAGCAACCGTTTCAAGCATTTGCGAAATCCACCGAAGATGGAATTTCCTAACTGTGAAATGCATGAGTTCAAGGCTTTCTTCGGTTTTGTTCGACGCTTTCTATTCTGTTTTAGGCTTTCCTTTTCACCCATTTCTTATATCGATTGCCCCATCTTCAAAAGGAAAAAAATTATACTGATTGCTCGCGATTTAGGTTTTATATAGATTATGTGTAGTTTAGGTAATGAATACAAAAAAGTAATGACTAAATGATGTGTGCTACTGTTAAGCAAGACAAGCAGACGGATATGGAGATGGAATTCTCAATGGCTTCAACCATTCATCAAATCCACTTCCGATATTTTCGCGAAAAGCGAGGCCTTATTTCCAAAATTTCTTCGGTAAGAACCCATCCTTGTTTTATGTTTGTAATACCTATCAATCCTTTGCTTTAGTCTTTGTTACAACACCGGGCTACCTGAAATGCAATCTGATTTCTGACAATGCGGACTTTCGAAATCGTCTCTGGGTACCCATATGTGTTTGGACTCGATTCTCGCTTTCATTTCCCTACTGCCAAATTTCTTTTCTCTATCCTCTTACGCTACACAGTGCATCAAATTCAAAGCTAGAGAAATGGAGTTAAGGTGCAGTTTTTATGGGGCAAGCATGCAGGGACCGTCTTCCCAACTTATTTGCTGGTTCATTACTTTCAATTGCGTTGCAATGAGCAACAGTGCTAGAACAACTTGTCAAATTCAGAGATGCCTTGCTGTACATGCATCAGGTTAGAGCTATCATTATTACTTCCTTTTTTTCCCCTTGAAGAAAAGTAACACTCTTTGTGCCTTAGATCAGTAATGAGAAGAATTCCTTTTGTTGCTCAATTTGTTCTTAAGCGGAACATTGAAATTGTAGTACATTTAAGTGCACCAAAACCTCTAATATATACATATTTATTTATGTACATTCACTGATTTGAGAACACTTAAGAAACAATTTAGCTAACAATGATGTCTACATGACGAGCTTGCCAAGCATAGACTCCAAAATAATTTGAAAAAGCTTTTAAAAGTTACACGTGTTGGAGGACTAATTTATAATCACAGCATTTAACCAAAATGTGACAAGGCGATTTTGCAAATATCTATGGCTTGGATCGCAATAGATATTTGTTGTATAAATATATGATGCATTAAACCCACATAAATTTTATGTCATATATGACTTGTACCTTGTTTGAACATCCAAATGTGCTTGAAATGAAGGCGTTCTTATCATTTCTTTTTACCTTTTTACGGCTAGATTGTTTTTCCAGCATATTCATAATATCAATTTCAAACTGTTCTGGCTTAATTATTGTTTGAAAATCTTTACTAAGCATGAACTGTTTGAACATCCAAATCTACTTGAAATGACGATGTTTTACTTCTTTCCTTTTCATGGCTATATTATTTTCCTGCATATTTTTAATATAAATAAAAATTCCTTTTATTTAAATTATTGTTTTGAAACAAATCATTACTTGTTAGAACATCAAAATGTTTTAGAAATGAAGACATCCTTGTTACTTATTTTTCCTTGCTTTTCAGGTTTATATTGAGTTTTGAGTGAAACTTTTGGTTTTTTGTGCTTATTGGCGTAATCAGAGCGTCATCATGATAGAGCATTTTTTGCTCAGTGTACATATGTCAATTCTAACTCTCCATGCAGCGATACCTTTTCTGGCCATTATATGTTAATATCTTGGCGAATCCACCTAGGTTACCTTAAATGGGGAATTAATTAAGATACCTTATAAAACGGCCGTGTTCTCCTCATCAGAGCTTCACAAACAGAGGAAAAAAATACAGGTCTTCTCAATTTTAACTGTAAAATCTAGAAAATTCTTTCATCACTGTTTGCTCGAAAGAGGCGGAGTTGGTAATTCTTTTCTTTTTGGATAATGTCTAAAACTTAGAGTGCATTCTCTGATTTTTTATTTTAAATGCTCTAGTTGCTTTATCATTTTAAATCTAACCCATGGTTTTTGAAATCATGTTTCTGTTTATATGTATGCATCATTTACATTTTAAAATTTTATTAATTTCTTGCGACACTGTTGGTTATATTCTTTGGGAGATCGTTTCACTTATGTCAGATTGGGGAAAAAATTAAAATATATTAATGAGAAAAAGAGTCTTTATCTACCCATAAAAAAAAGCTTGTTTTTTTTGTTGTTGTTGTATGAGCTAAAGAATTGTTTTCATTCATGATGTATCCTTTAAAAATGTGGATATTCTACTATCTTGTTAGACAATGGGTCCAATTTTTAGGTGATAGTTATATGATAATGTTGGAACTTCTACTGGCTTGGGGATGACAATCTTGAGATTTAAACTAGCTTGGTTTAAGACTTTTCAAGCAGTACTTTTGTGGAGCATCGCGTATAAGTTGGTCACTTTTGGTATGAGAGATAATATTGTTTATTGGATGGGATTAGAATATGCTCAAGGAGGAGGTCGCCATACCAAAGGAAAGAAGGAAGCACAGAATGGAAGAATCCTTACTTCTTATTGACAATATATGTCTAGCATTCTCTATGTGTCTATCTTCCTCTAACACCTTATTGTTTTTCTTTATTGGAATTTCAGTTTGTATTAATGTTTGTAAATCTATATAACTGAAGTTGTACTATTGCTATTACCTGTGAAACTATTTAATCTCACATGTTTACTTTTTTTCTAGAAAAAAGAAGTGTTGCTGAAGTATCACACAACAAACAATTTTTTGATGCACATGCATGTAACTTGTCTAATCTGGACAATAAATATTGCATAGTCATCATAATCTAGTTTTCCTCTAATATTTTCCTAAATAATATGATATTAAATTAGATTTTTTTTTCTAAAATAAGTGAAACTAATTATGCTAGTTTCTTGTTGTTCAATTTGAAATTTGACAAGAATTTTTTCCACTCTGTACTGTATTTCTTACCTTGACAATTATAACTTGACTTTTGAAACAGGTCGACAGAAACAAAGGTGGAAAATTCGTGCATTTTTGTACTAATAAAGGTACAAAAGTGCATCTTTTGACATTTATCGTGAGAACACAAGAAAGTAATACATTATGTTAAGTGGGGTATATAGAAGGAGTCCACGGATAGTTGAATTGGATGCACGGAAAGCACAAGCAAGGAGTCAAAATAAGGGCAATGTGATATGTGAAGTGGTGGACGAGGAAGAACCAGAGAAGGGGCACGATATTTTGAAACAAAAGCGCAGAAGGAAAAAGGTCAAGGCCAGAACTGTCCAAGACCTTGTTGTTAATTCAGTTGAATATAAACTTCAAAAGGTACCTTCTGTTTCTTATCCATTTCAAATGTTATACCTTGCACGCATTATTTTATTCAATCAAAGGGATAATAGAAGTATCACTAATTGTATTAATAATATAAAGAGGTATTACCAGCATAGGTATGGCATCTATTCTTTATGCCACAAGATTGAATTTGAGCAAGAATGTGATTTAGATCATAGCTTTATACTTTTGCGATACAGCTGGATTGTCGTTGGTTGATTCTAATTGCTACTAGTTTTGTCATTTAAGATATTACATATGTCCTAAGAAGGGACCCTATCAAAAGCTTCATTATTCCATGGTTATGATGCCAGTGATCTCTAAACTTAATTGGAGTGTCATTTGTTGGTAATTGGTGCTATTGTAGATGATAAATTGAATATAGTGTTGAAGTTTAAGTTGGAATCTATATCACAATGATCTTTTAAATACAAAATATATTACCTTTTTTCTGGATAATAGGTGTTAATATGGTATCTTTTAAATACAAAATATGCTAAAAATGGATGAAAAGCAGGAGTGTGTGACAGTTTTCTTGTGCAAATATATGAAAATTGATTGAAACTAGTTTACTGATACAGTTTATTTCCGTGTTTGTTTGAGATAGCTATAGTTAGTCCATTTTTGTTAATTTTCATATTATGTTAAAGCTTATTTGATTCAACTGCAGACTGACGCAGGGAATGATGAAGATGGCCTTGTAAAAAATGCTGGTTAGCTCATGCTTTAGTATAAAACTGGAAGTACAGGTTTATCATTTCTTATGTGTAATCGTGATTATGTATTCCATAATTATTCATTTATTGCTCATCGTACATTAAGCACCTATTGTGCCTTCTGGAGCTGCAATACCTGAAAAAGGCAAGCTTGAACTACTACTTGGTATATTGCAAAGGTATGTAGTTATCTTGTAGACTAGACATGCTCCCATAATTTCAACTAATAAATATAATGGATTGAATATCTTATTTTCTTCTATGAGAAAAAAGATTGAATTATATTCTAGTGATTGTTTAGAGATTTGCTTTTGCTATTGTCCTTTTCATCTGAATTGTAGGAGAGACACATATAAAATATTTGCAGAGCCAGTAAACCCAGAAGAGGTAACTGTTTTATTGTCTTCTTTTTCAAATGCTCTAGTTTCTCTATCCATGATAATAGTCCCCTTTCGAATTTATCAAACCCAGTGATTATTGGTTAACATCTTAAAATTTTGCTCAATCTATAATTTCGATCAAAATTAAAAAGATGGACTGAAAGCTAAAAATTATTTCTATGTTTTTGAAAAATTCTGAAGAGGGACTGTGATCAGGGAAAGAAACATAATCAAAGGGGTTAATTAACTTCGTTTCTTAAAATGAAAGGTTGAATACTACTATGATGTCATCAAAGAACCAATGGATTTTGGCACGGTTGCAAAGAAACTGAATGAAGGAAGTTATCAAACACTCGAAGAATTTGAGGTCTGCTTCCAAAATGGTACCTCTTATCTTGTCATATAAAATTTGTGGATCATTTTAATTAATTGGTTCCTTTCATACTTTTACACAGCATGATGTATTTTTGGTACCCAACAATGCCATGCTTTTCAATGCTTCAAATACCATATACTACAGACAGGTAAGTCAACCAAATTTTTACTAATTATGTGAACTTTATGACAATGTCGTCTTCAACTTGGCTGCAATTTTTTGACGTTCTTAGATTTTTTTTTTTGGTTTCCTGAACTAAATTATTTTTGGTTTTCCAGGCACGCGCACTAAAAGAACTAGCTACAAAGCTATTCCATGCTCTTAAAACTGATCCGGAAAGCTTCGAATCTGAAGCTTCCCTACAAAGAATGGGACTTGGTAGGAGTACAAAGGCTGGAGTTGGAATTCTGAACTGTAACAACAAGATTAATACTAGCATTGCAGCTGGGGGTAGGTCATGCTGCCCATTTGAGGGTATCTAGTTTTTTCCTTTTTCTTTATTGACATTTGGTTTAAGCGTGTCTATCTCCTTTTACTCAAAATATGTATTGATCAAAAAATAAATGTTACTTATTGGTATAAGTATCAAATATTAAGAAATAAAATATATACATATTGAAATTTATATATCTGCAAATACAATGCAACAATAGATATGTGTAGTGATAAAGGTTTTCATATAACTCCCAAACTTGTGAGATTCTCTTTTGTGCTTAGCTTAATCTTATTCAAATTAATTTTATGGGTTTCAAAATTTTGTTTAAACAGGCTATAGATCTCATCAACAATTTAATGATGTTGATGTGGAAAGGCGTCGAACCTATAGACCTTGGAAGTCTTTACTTAGTGAGAATGGATCTTTATTCTCAGCAGTTCATAACAGTCCAAAGCCACTTGTTCTGGTGAGTATTGTTTCTTCTAGTCTTGTCAAATACATAATCTATGGAAATGGTGTAAATATATAGAAAATCAAAACCATTTTACTTCTAAAATATGTTAAACTGACTTCATTACATTTAATGTGAAGTATGCTTTATATAAGATCAATAAGAGTGGACTTTGAGGTCATACTTTAAATAAGTGTTAGTTACTAGTGGGAATGGTTTGGTGTGGGAATGACATTTGTATTTCAGTTGGTATTGAGGTTTTAAATATATCAGTCACTTCGTGAAATGTGAATACATGAATTAAAATCAATTATTGATAATGGCTTAAAATAAAAGAGAAACGGAAATTCATATTTTAAGTTAGAAAATTTTGAACAAACTTTCAAAATACACAAATTTATTGATTTATGTATTTTTAACACCATGATTTTAGAACATGATAGATAGATAGATAGATAGAATACTACATATTATAAACAGAGAAAAAGAAGGATGAACTGAAAAGAAGGATGAAAAGTAATTTAATCTTATAACCTATAATAGTTACATTAAATTGGTTAAATATACCTAGGGGTTGACTTCTAATATAACTTCACTGGAAAGATAAATATTTATCTAGAGATAAAGATAAGAGACTCCTAAATACTATAATCTCTACGACAGATTCTGACACCCCCTTCAAGTTGGTGAATAAATATATACTATTCCTTTCTTGCGTACTATTTCTTGGAAAACCTTGCTTAGTTCCTTTGTGAACACATCTATCAACTGGTCCTTGGTTGAGATTAATGGAATGCAAATTAGACCACTATCCAATTTTTCCTTATGAAATGCCTATCAACTTCAATATGCATTGCTCGATCGTGTTGAATAGGATTATCAACAATATTGATAGCTGATTTATTATCATAGTAGCCTCATGACTCCTCTTACTTTATTCTTAAGTCATCTAGAATTATCTTTACCCAGAGTAGCTAACATACTTCCAATCCATCGATCTGAATTCTGATTCTACACTTGATCTTGCTACTACATAATGCGTCTTACTTCTCTAGGTTATAGGATTGTACGGTACCCGGATATTGACTTCCTGTCGACTAAAGATCTTGCATAATTTGCATCCGTGTATGCTTCTAATGTAATGCCAGAGTTTGTTTAATGCTTAAACAAAATCCATTTTCTTGGGTTGTCTTTCAGGTACTACTGTATCATATTTACTGCTTTGAGATGTGATTCTTTTGTATTGTGCATAAACTGGCTGACTACACTCACCGCAAATGCTATATTTGGTCTCGTGTGTGCCAAATATATTAACTTTCCCATCAGCCTTTGACAGAACCCTCTATCAACCATAGGTTCTTCTGGTGTATCACATAATCCATGATTAAACTCAATTAGTGTCTCAACTGATTAGCAACCCATCTTCCCCGTTTCTTTCAACTAGTCAAGTACATATTTTTTTGAGAGATGAAGATTCCTTGCTTCGAATGTGCTACTTCAATGTCTAGAAAGTATTTTAACTTTCTTAGCTCTTTGTTATCAAATTCCTTCAAGTTCTTCATTTCTTTAATGTCATCACCCGTAACTATGATGTTGTATACATACACTAATAGTTTTATGAACAAGGTATGATTACCTTGACTTTATTTATATTATATCTTAGAGAGATCATTGACTTAGCAAACCTCCCAAACTACGCTCGTGGTGATTGTTTGAACCCATAAAGAGTTTTCTTCGATTTGTACACCATTCTCTTATATTCAAAACCATGAGGAACTTCCATATAATTTTTTTTCTTCAAGATCGTCATGGAGGAATGCAACATCGAACTAATGTAGTTCCCACTCAAAAAAAGCTGCCAATGATAAAAGAATTCTGATTGTGTTCATTTTTGCTACAAGAGCAAACTTCTCATGATAGTCAATACCATAGGTTTGGTTGTATCCTTGGACCACCAACCTTGCTTTGTACCTTTCCGCTGTGCCATCTGCCTTATATTTTATAGAGAACTCCCATTTAAATACCACATTTTTTTTCTACGTGGTAGTTCAATTCAACTAATTTCCATGTCTTGTTCTTCTCAATGTTTTATGGTTTAATTGCCTCTTTACTAGTACATTCTCTTGGGTTTATCAGTAAGAAATTTTCTATTTTTACATCTTTCTCTGCGGACTTGGACTCCATTAAATATACAAGAATGAAACCGAAGAAGTGTTTTCAATCAAAAGCCTTATGAGAATAATATTCTCCATTTCTCCTTGTAATCATATATTATTTACTGATTATTTGTCTTGTACATTCAGAATGCTGAGGCAGATATTGGATATTTAGAGAGCTTAAAGCGGTTTTCTAAAGATTTGGGCCCAGTAGCTCAAAAGGTTACCATGAAGAAGGTAAATAGTTACATTTCTGAAGCCATGAGAGTTTGGAATGTGACTACAAATAGTCAGGTCTGGCCCCCAAATATGCAAATTCCTAATGCTCCGTCTGCATCAAATATAAAGGTTGCTCCATCTTTTAAAGTCCCTTCAAGTACACCTGGATGCCAAAATATTTCAGTTGATAAAATGAACGTTCACAGTGGATTCTCACATGGGGGACAGGCACCAATGGATGGCAATATGACCATTAATAATGCTTTAACTGGAGGAATTAGTCAACCTGGTGGCAGCAGAGTGGAAAGTTTTGGTGACTTCCAAGGGAACAGGGTTCCGTCTGTGAGTAGGGGTTTTGCTCCATCTAGCGGATATCAAACATTGGCAGGTGAAACAATGGATGGTCCAACCTTCTTTTGGAATGGAGGAAAGGTGTCCGCAGGTTATAATGTTGACATGGCTGATGCTTTCAAGGATTATGCTGCTAATCAAAGCAATGGGGTTCACTTGGATTCTTCTTTTCCCAATTATGATTCAGGGAAACCAAAACTCGATTTATCTGAATCGTGGAATACAAAGGGAAAACAAAAGGAACTAGGCGAGACAAGCATGATGGTAAACCCAGGGGATAAAGTGTACGAAATGATGGGCTTGCTTCTTCATGGTGGAGGATGCAAGACTGTCTCCCTCAAAGTAACAGTGGTGCTTCCTCATCTGCATGGTGTCCACCTTCTCAAGTCATGACAGGGTTGAATGGATTTCAGACCATTGACTACATGACCGGAATTGGCTCTCATTATTCTGGTAAACCAATGTTTGAAAAAGATGTCATAGCTGATGGAGAAGGCTCTAGATACAAAACCAAAGTAGAGCATGGTAAGGTAGTTTCAGATTTCTTGATGCCACTGGAGATGGGAACGCAATCCCCGAGTGGAATTGGTTCCATTATCCTGGTAAAGTAATACGTGAAAAAGATGTCATAGCTGATAGAGAAGGCTCTAGGTATCGAAGCATTGTAGAGCAGGGTGGGGTAGTTTTAGGTTTGATGGCGCCAGTGAAGATGGGAATGCAATCCTCGAGTGGAATTGGTTCCCATTATCGTGGTAAAGCAATAAGTGAAAAAAATGTCATAGCTGATGGAGAAGGCTCTAGATGCAGAACCAATGTAGAGCAGGGTGGGGTAGTTTCAGATGTGTTGATGCCACTGGAGATGGGAATGCAATCCCCTAGTGAATTCTGTTTTCAGGAAACACTACCAGCTGAATTGACATCCTTATTTGAGCAAAAAGAACTGGGACCACTATGTGAACTTCCTACTGATGAAGACTGGTTTGGGTTTCTCCCAGAGGAGAATACACCAGAGAAGGCATTGGAGTATGAGAGATTTGAACCTGAAAGCAGTGGAGCAGCTGCTGAGAGGAGGCAGAAGCTAACTGCCGAACAGGCGCAATGGAGGTGGCTGTAGTAATTCTCTAGGCCAATGTATGCATGGCATGACAATGCAATAATAGAGACTTTGCTTGTTTTAAATCCATCCAAAGGAAACTTGAAGATTTTCTGGTATATAAAAGAGCTCTGGGCTCTGCCTTTCTATTGTGCGGGATCTGGGGTGGGAGGTTATGACCATCGTACTCTTAGACTATGACATCCACCATCTTCAATAACATAACATTTCTATCTTCTTACTTGCACCATCTTTATTCATTTATTTTTGTTCAATATTGGTTGCATTTTTATCTGCTAGGAGAAGAGAATTAGATGGTTCAAGTATTTTTTGTTCCCAGAACTCAGATAACCAACACTACTGAACCAGAGAGTTGAAGAACACGCCGTTAGTACTCCATTTATTTAACATCGTATCTTTATTTCAACCTAAAATAATCAAAATTTTGTTTTATTATTCAACTCAGAAACATTGTTATTACGGGTGTAAATAAACTGAATTCGAAGGAATAAAGTTTGTCTATTTTTTAAGATATTAATATTCAATTCGTGTTCATTTCTATTTATTTATTTTAAAGGTATTCATATTCATTGTCATGTCTTTTTCAATCAATTTAGTCACAAGTCCAAAAAAATGGTGAAACTACGCCACTAGTTCTTAAGTTCCTTTGGTTTAATAGTTTGAACTCTAAAATTTAATCTAATGGCCTAGTTTAATAAAAAAAATAATCTAATGGCCTAGTTTAATAAAAATATGGGGAAAAAAAAGGAAGGAAAACCGAATAAACAAGTTTATAAATTAGTTTGTTCTTGAACATAAAAAACTTAAACATATTTTTTTTCGTGTTCATTCATTTAATAAATAAACAAAAATTTTATTAATACTCATTTATTTAATTATTAAACGAATATAATGAATACTACTATACGTCAAATTACTATACTATAGTTCATTCACACCTCTAATTGAAATTTTTCTATACAAATGTGATTAAGCCGAAATTATGGACTTCCTGTTTGACTTGGGGGGTTTAATTATCCAACTTTTACGTCACTTGATTATATATCTCGGCCTCCTGTGCTCTTTAGAAAAGGAAAAATCTCAACCTTCAGCCAAAAGAGATGCACTTTTATCTAGATACCTATGCTTGGCCCATCTGTATGGCACTATCGTTTGGAAAATTGATTTACCCTTGTGATGCTTAACTTTTTTTTTTTCCAAAAGAAAATCACATATTCTGCCACCCTTTAAGCTTTCTTCACCTTTTTTTTTTTGGAATGGGGAAGATCTGGATTGAAGTTTGCATAATTTCTGCTCGAGGTCTCCGGCGTTCGTCCTCTTTTTGGAAGCTGCAGTGGTTTACAGTTGGATGGATCGATCCCAACGACAAATATTGCACCAAGATCGATGCTTCCGGGAGTTCAAATCCGGTATGGAAAACCAAGTTTGCAGCTTTGGTTGATGAGTCTAATGTTGAGGACATGGTGCTCCATGTTGAAGTATACAGTAGGGAGCCCATTTTTCTGAGGGAAAGGATTCAAGGGACTGCAACTGTTGCCTTGAAAGAATTTCTGGCCAAATATAACAACAGTTCCGCCTCTTCAAGTGAAGAAGTAGGGAGCTACCAGTTACGCAAAGCAAATTCCAACAAACCTCAAGGATTTGTTGACATCTCAATTCGTGTCTCGGAGGAGAAGGAAAATCCTGGTTCATACACAGGTAATTTCACCTAAACTGTTGTTTTGACATTTGAGATTGGTGCTGAGCTTAGTTGTTTTGCAGGTAGTGAAGGAGGACTGGTTCTCATGGACCATAGATCAGATATTCCTTTGTCTACTGGAGGAGGCTATCCAGCAGCAGAGGCAACATGGCCTCAGCCGAACATGCCATTCCCATATAAACATCCACCGCCGTATCCCACAAACAATAACAACCAATCTCTAGGGGTAGGCCAGTCTAGTTATCCATCAGCTTCTGGACACAGCCATCGCCCACCACCTCCACCTCCCCCCCCACCCTCTAACGTTGGTTACATTCCCAGTTTCCTCCCCAGAACAGAGAATTATATCAACATGCCATCATCTGTAGCTGCACCTGGACTAGGGCCAAGACCTGGTTTTGCAATGGGAGTAGGGGCAGGGGCACTGGCGGCTGGTGCTGTGCTTTTTAGTGACGACTTCATGTCAGGCTTTGATGTTCCTGCGGGCTTCCAAGATGCGAACCTCACCATATCCACCGACCCTCCTTTCTGATCAGCACTGCCTTGCTGCCTGCAGCTGCAATGTAATGTAATCCAGCACATATATATATATATATATGAAAATATTCGTAATGTCTAAACTCTAAAGCATTCTTCGACTATTGATGCTTGTTGTTGATAGCCTGACTTATTGGGGGTTGAGATTTCCTTCTGTTGTTGCTCCATTCTGGGAGTTTTACTACCGACTTTTACAAATTTAGCCGCTTCTTTCATATTTTTAATTGGATTTTCTTTGATTCTTGCCGAGTTATTATATCATTCTTTCAATTTCTTTGATTCTTCATTTCAGTTTTTTTAGTGTTCTATTGAATTTGATTGATTTGGATTCTAGAGTTCCATCTCAACTGCAACTCGGTTCAGCTTTTGGGGTCATTAGGCCTAAATCCATCGACTTTTTTTACAAATAAATAGTGAATTGCATTGACGAGTGAATGAAGGAGTTACAAATTTGTAAAAGCATGAAACTATGAAATTTTAACAAAGCAGATTGGCTTGTATTGTAATTGATCTCTTCAAAACTGAATGTGAAGTTTTGTCATTGTGCAGTAATCTCTATACCATCATAGTGGAGTCAGAGCTCTAGTCGCTTATTGTTTAGTGTGTATATTGATTTATTATAGTGTGTATGTATATCGTATTTCAGTTCTAATCTTATTTTATAAGTAATCGGATTGAGGAGTTCAATATTTTATAAACTAAATTTATATTTATTATCTTGGTATTATGATTACGCATTTATGATTTAGATAAATATTTTTTTTTTAAAAAATTAAATAATAATTTTAATGATCCAAATTCAGGCCGACACTGCGTTACAAACTAAGCAAATGATGTAATTACCTTAAAGGATCATCAAAAAGGATATCCATGGAAGGCTTGAAAGCCAAGCCAATTACTTTTCCCACCAGATCGTTTTGAATAAAACCAGGCAGTTTATCTTAAAATTTGAATTTTCTTAGAATAATTCGCCACTAAATCACTCTCCATGTCATGTCCCAATCTCCATTCCCAGCAGCAAGAAAACGATTCTCACCCATTTCCGATTACCTTCGACATAGCAACTCAATTAACCAATTAAAACAAACCCACGCTTTGTTTCTGAAAACCCTGCTTAAAACCCAGTACTACCATTTCTTAACTCTGTTCCTCGCTAAGCTACTGCATGTACCAGGTGACTACCTCGGCTACGCCCGCCAAGTGTTCGATCAAATACCCAACTGTAAAAGGGAGTTCCTCTGGACTTCCCTCATACGCTCCCATGTTTTCAACGGTTATTTCATGCAATCTATTCTATTGTACTCTAGAATGCAGCGGAAAGGCATATCCCCATCTGGGTTCACCTTCTCCTCTGTTCTTAATGCTTGTGCTCGCATCCCGGCAATGTTCGAAGGCAAGCAAGTACACGCGGGAGTCGAGAAATCAGGTCTCTTGAGGAACAATATTTTGCAAACGTCATTGCTTGATATGTACGCCAAGTGTGGCTTCATGTTGGATGCGGAAAGGGTGTTCAATGGAATGGAAAAGAGAGATGTTGTTGCTTGGACAGCTATGATTTGTGGTTACACTAAGGTAGGATTGATGGATGAAGCGCGTTTCTTGTTTGATGACATGGAGGGACGCAATATGGTTTCCTGGACAACCATGGTTGCTGGATATGCAAATTGTGGTGACATGGAAGCAGCTGAGGAGTTGTATGACAGGATGATGGAGAAGAATCCGGTTGCTTGCCTTGCCATGATCGCAGGCTATGGGAAGTGCGGTGATGTGAGTAAGGCTAGAAGAATGTTTGATGAAATAGTAAAGCCTGATGCATCATGTTGGGCAGCAATGTTGGTTTGCTATGCACAAAATGGATATGCAAAGGAAGCTATTGGGACTTTTAGGGCAATAAGAGTTCAAAATCTCGGAATTAATGAGGTTGGAATGGTGGGTGCTATTTCCGCTTGTACTCAAATAGGAGATGTTAGTATGGCGGAGGCATTGGCTAAGGATTTAGAAGAAGGATGTTGTGGTAAGTTGTGCTTGTATTAGTGATTGCTAGTGAGGTACTATTATTAAATATGTACATTGAATGCGTTAGTCCTCAGCTAGATTTTTGTTTCCTGTTTTTAATTATTTAGTATTGCCTGATAAATTCAGAAAGGACACTCTTCGTGTCGAATGCGTTAATACACATGCATGCAAAATGTGGATGTATAGAGCAGGCCTGGATGGAATTCTGTAGAATGAAGCAGAGGGATGTCGTATCTTACAGCACAATGATCACAGCCCTTGCTGACCATGGAGAGTCCCAGGTAGCTTTGGCTTTATTATCAAAGATGCAAAGGAAGGAATCAAGCCAAACCAAGTTACATTCGTAGGCGTCCTTGATGCCTGTAGTCATGGTGGATTGGTTGAGGAAGGGTGCAAGCTCTTTGAGTTATGACACATGTTTTTGGCCTTGTGCCCTTAAGGGAACACCTTACTTGCATGGTTGACCTCCTGGGAAGGGCTGGCCACCTTGAGAAAGCATATACTCTTATCATTGAATATGGAGATTCCTCGGATTCTGGAATTTGGGGTGCTTTGCTTGGAGCTTGTAAGGTTTACGGTAATGCACCATTGGGTGAGATTGCATCGAGTCATCTCTTTGAAATTGAGCCTGAAGATGTTGGAAATTATGTGCTTTTGGCCAATGTTTATGCTTCATTGGATAAATGGAATGATGCCGAGAGACTGAAGAAGATGATTTCCGAAAAGGAAAAGAGGAAATCTCCTGGTTGTAGCTGGGTGCCAAGTTGAGGAAGTCTTGTGATTCCCCACATGATAGACCGAGGGGGACTCGCGGAGTGGTCACTTCTTGGAAATATCAATTTCTCATATAATTTATGTATTTTCTTTTGATATTCTGTTTTCGTCTCTGCCCTTACATTACACAATTACTCAGTTAAGTCATGGTTGTAATGAGCATGGTATTGGGTTCCCTGACCGTTTAACGGGAATTGTGGGATTGAATTTATCATTTTCTCCTCCTGAACATTTTGAGTAGGGTTAAATATATTTTGGTAATGTCATTATTTTACCGTTAATAAAAAATCGTAAAAAAACTGAGTTGTATTGTATTGACCAATCAAAAGCCCCTACATCGATCCTAATAGATGGTTGGGTTCTTTTGGGTTGGAATTTGGAAACTACCACTGGTGACGCAAGGGACATCTTGAACAAAGGCAGCGTCAGAGGATCAATAGAGCGTACGAGGGAATGTCCTTAAAGCTACAGGGAGGGGAATGTCCTTAAAGCTACAGGGAGTCGCACTTTGGACGACGCTACCTCGAAGGCGACATGGAAAAATATAAAAATCTTCCATAATGTCCCCTCACAACGCCCCACGGGTAGATAAAAATTATCGACTTCTAAGATGGCAGTTAGTATTTTGAACAATTAATGGATGTAAGCATTTCTGAAATCTCCAACCGGGCTCTAAATCTCTTAGAAAATTCTTATTATCCTTCGTCATGCTGCCATTGCATTGAGTTGCCTCTATTGTGTTATCCTAGTGGGGACGACCCTAATCTTTGGTCAAAAGAGTATTGAGCTACCTCTGCTATAAGTGTCGAGATGCCTTCACACAGAGAGACAGAATGCCTCCGAATGCGAGAGAAGTCTCCATCCATTAACTGCAAAAGTATCGAGTTGTCTCCGTACCTATTGACCGTGAGTTGCCTCCGTAAGGTGTTGAGTTATCTCTACCCCTACTTACAGCCATAAAACAGCTAGAGGTTAAAATGTATCCGCTTCGGTGTTGAGATGTCTTTGCCTAGTAACGCCACAACAAAGACGTCTCAGTTTACCTGCAGTATATGGTACACATAGAGATGCATTAGCTTCCACCGTAGTACGCTATCACAAACCGAGTAGCCTGCTCTACCTAACCAAATAGCGTTGAGTTGCCTCGTGCCCTCTCATAGCAAACGGGATTACGTCCTCAAACCAACCAAAAGAGTTTAGAGCTTTCGTTCTAACAGAACGATGATATGCCTTTTCCTTAATTTGGTAAATGTCATAGTTTTACCTATAGTGTATGATACGCGTTGAGATGCCTCTGCATCTGCTGCGGTGCGTTGTCACATACTGAGAAGCCTCATTCATCTACCTAATCGAGAACTGTTGAGATACTTCATGCTATGGTATTATGTCCTTAAATCGAGTGAAAGAGTTAAGAGCCTTCACTCTAACTGAGTGTCGAGATGTCTCTAACTCCAAACTGATAAGATATCTCCGGAAGCCCGAATAACGTAAGGATGCCCCCACTCTTGTAGACACATTTATGAGCTACCTCTAAAGAGTGTCGAGATGCATCCGCTTTGACGCCTTTTCCTTGGTAAGGGGAGAGTTGGCATTTTCCCTTTATTTTTACCATGGTAAAGAAGCCTCCACCCACTCATCGAATTTATCTAAGGATGTTGCGTTGCCTTTTCTCTGACCAAAGATTTTCTCGTCTCGTTTCCAACTACAACTCTGTCTCTACCACCAGGGACTAGCCAAAAGAGTAAAGAAGTCCCCGCTGCCTCTGCACATCATAGGAATACGAATACATTCAACTCAATCGCACATGTATCTTTGCAATAAGTGATAGGACCCTTGCACGGGGTAAACTTTGCATGAAGAAGCCTTTGCCCTATAATTGACACCTCTGTATAAAACATTGAGAACCTTGTGTGAAGAAGCTTTCACCCTACACTAAACCTCCACATGAAGTATCGAGAGGCCTAGATAAACACCTCTGCTACTAACCATTGAGAGCCTTGCGCGAAGAAGCCTTCGTCATATAAGTAATACCTCCACTAGCATCGAGGATGTCACACCCTTATATACGCCTCTCCATAAAGCGTAAAAGGCTCTAAGCGAAAAGACCTTCACCCTATAACAAGGACTTACCTCCCAACCCCCACACTTTATAAAGAAAACATTCACGTGGAGCAACCTACACATTTGAATATGACGACAATGTTTTTGTAATATATTAGATTGATTTTCTAGAAATTTCAAGCTTTGATTGATATTTTAAAAGTTCGATGACTTATT